GTTATTTTTTTTTTTTTTTTTTTTCAAATTATGTTGGGAAACAATTTTCTAGACCATAAAATCTATGTTTTATTACTAATTTATAGGGATTTGTTGTAAGTTGCCAAAAAAAATGTCAAGGTATGAATGTGTCAATTGCTCAGTTTATTTAAACTTGGCAAACATGAACAGCCATCATATGCAAATATTTATGTAAGTGACACTTGTATTGTTTGTCTCTCTGATAGAGCAGCAATCAGATGCCGAATCCCTCAGATGCCGTTATAATTATACTGTAGGAGATCTTGCAGTTGAATAGTTAGCCGGCCTGGTCATATAGACCAGCAAATGGTGTTTGGAGTGGACTGGGAAGAAACCTTGTATACAAGAAACCTATACAACTGCAGTGTTGCTTTTTTTAATAGATAGAGCAAAGCTAAATGCGTCATCTGATCTGAAGTCTAAAACTGTGGATGTGTCGTTTATGCCTTGAGCAGAAACGGTCTTAGATGGCTAAAACGTAACAAAATGAAAGCTTTGAAATAGCAAAAAAAAATAAAAAAATACAAAAAATACAAAAACTAAAATCTTTTTCTCTTCAGAATCTCAGGTTTCCAATTAACCGGGTGGGATTCTTCAGTCTGAAAGAAAAAAAAACAAAACAAGTTTTAATAAAGAAAACCTTCATTTGGAAAATTTGCAGCAGAACATCAAGGCAATCCTTTTCCATCTGATAAACCTTTTCAATTATAAACATTTCACAATCGACACATTTTATCATTATTATTAATAGTTTTGAGTAGAATAGCAACTAATAACTTACAGCCGTGTCGTCCTCCTTGTAGACCTTGATGGTTTTGTCGGCCTCTGCTGTTATGAGGCGGCTCTCAGACTGATCGAACACGCACGCAAAGATCCCAGACTCGCTGTCTAGAGAACCGGGCTGCACCGCCGCATGAATCCTCTGGAAGTTGTAGCCAGTCCTCCAGTCCCACATGTGAATAGTGCCGTTATCAGCTGATGAGAAAAAGGACAGTCAATGACAAATGCATCAATTGACCTATCGGTAAGCCCCGCCCCCTTAGTTACTGTTTATTGGTTGCTCACTCGGACAAACAAACGTTGTTGCTCACGGTCTTACAATGACAGCTGTCAGTGAAAACCTTCTTCCGAGGGGTTTCTGATAAATTTAGGACACAGATGGTCCTTCAAGTGGGACTTAAACATGCCATGGAAGGATATATAAAAGATATAAAAATAAATATGTAAAAATACAGATCACAATGCAAACGGGAGAATTATGTTACGGTCGTCACGATCGCAATGACAACATCCCGGATCAACACCGTTCATATACCGCAGAGTAAGATTAAATGAATTTACATTTAACCAGATTAATATGGAGAGGCACTCTAATATAGACCTTCGTTTATGTGTTTTTGACTTTCACTGCACGGTACGCGAGAACAGTTCGCTATTTAGGTTTGTACGTTAGCATGGACTAGTTTTAGCAAGAGATACCTTGCTGAAGCACAAGATGACATTAACGTTCTGCTTGAGCTGATGAAAAGTGTAACTTAATGAGAGTACGACAACCAGAAAATGAACGTTTTCGTCTTCATTGTGATTGGGGGTAAATGCTTAGGGAACGTTTTGCTCCGTTTTGGTTGGATTTAGGAAATGGAATAAAATAAATTCTATTGCCCATCCTCTCAGGATAACTGGAATCAGTGTTACAAGTACCCCAGGCACATCGTTTTTCCATTTTTGAAGCATAAACACCATTAAACCGATGCGAGCTTCGGATCTTCCAATGTTTCTCTATGGCGCTGAAGCCTACAGATGTCGGAGTTCCGCTCCTCGTGCAACTGATACTCGACTGCCATTGGCTCATCTGCGTTCGAGGGGAGGGGCTTACCGATAGGTCAATTGGACATGAGGGAGGGAATCAGGAATGAGACAAAATTCAACATTGTTCAACAGATTTTTAGCAGGACCAGCTTTGCAACGTAAAAGTGTGCAGGAGCATTTCACCTCCAGACACCAGAACTCCATCTGAATTGACAGCCAGCGTGTTGATAATGGCGTTGTGTCCGGAAAGATTTTGGATGAAGTTCCCATCAGGACATTTCCACTGCTTGATGTTGTCTGGAGAGCCAGAGGCAAAGGTGTACCTGTTCAAGAAACGTGCGATTTTGATGAAGAGACAGGAATGCTTTGAAAAAGATCTGTGGCAATCTGTAACATTGTTTCATTTGATTCCAGACCTATGATTTCTGTCATATGGGAAACAAATTATGGCTAAAAATACATCATGTAAATCTTGCACCAAAATAAAAGCTCTGTTTAACCAGATGCATGAAATTGAAGAAAAAGAAAAAAATACTATCATGTAGTAAAATGTAACATTCAATGTAAATAATACCCTGGCAACTAACTGTAGTACGTTTAATTTGAATGACTAAAGTTACTAAAACTAAAATAAAGCAATTTATAAATATACATTAAAAAACAAGACAAAAGCACAAATAACTAAAACCTCAAAAAAATTTGAAAATGTAAAAAGCCAAATCAAAATACGAATAAATACTAGAATAGTATATAAATACTGAAACAACACTGATTTATACTGTAACAACTAATCAATAAACTACATTATAACCGTTAATGAATATAATTAACAACGAATTTGATTAGATTGCATCTGCTTGCTTTGCACCGAAAACATCTGCCGATCATTGTTTAACAATTTTAATAACCTGTTTTTTTACTGAACACACAGAAAACTGCAATGTCACATGGAAACAGAATGTGGCACAAATTGAAATAAACTAATAAAAAAATAAAGTGGATTTTATAGGGCCTTAATTCACAACTTAAATTACTTTATTCTGTTTCTACTCTTTTTAAAGGTTCACTACTATATTAGTTAATAGGGATGCACCGAAATGAAAATGATCGGCCGAAGCCAATAAAAAAACGTTTTTTTTCCTCATGTATTTTGCCAAATTTTTTTCACCATTGCATAAATTAAATAGCCAAAATGTTTACTGTTTTGTCTTGCTTTTCAAAGAAAAAAATTAATTACAAAACAGCAATTTAAAAATATTTAACACTGAACATTTTTAACATTCTAGCAGACACTATACCAACAAAGCACAATTTAACTTAAAATTAATTTTTTGGCGATCAGACCCCCTTCTTGAATCAGGCATGTATTTTTTACTGTAAAATTAAAAGCAGCATTACTGAACTTCTTTTAAAACATTAGAAAATACTACAGATCCTAATTTGAACACTGCGTGTGAATGTTATAATAAATGTATTAACAGCTGTTGTAATGATTATTATCATTATTATTATTGTCTTTTTATTTTATTTTACAGAACAACAGTAAAATTACAACAATACTAACATTCATGAATGCTGGAAATCTTGCTTTTTGTCAACTTTTATTCTGGCGGAAACGCGCAGGAAGACCTCAACGCTTCTTTTAGTTGACAGCAGATTTATAAATGAGTCTCATTATGAATGTCACACGTAGCGCATTGTCACATGCCTTGTAAAAATTCATAAAAATGTGACTGAGCAACTGACGAGTAACACTGTTTCAGCGCAGATTTTCCTCGTGCTTTGGACCCTGGTTAACCAGAAGAGTTCGCGCAGCGCTGTCAGAATACATGCAATGTGCACGTGTATTAGAAAACATAACGTTCTGCAGTTATTTACTAATTAAGGCCATTTCTCGATTTCAATCATCATACAGTAACCAGCAACAATCACCCCTCCTCTTCTCATTGAAGACATGCGCTGCAGCACTAAACAGTCTCTCTCTGTCGGTGCTTGTAATGATTTTTGCGTCTTTCTCAGACAGTTTAAATGCTTCCACACTGCTGATGTGTGTGCTGCATAATAAAGAGTGCGCGCCTCTCACTCTGCGCGGGTTGCTATTTGATCGCGTCATATCATTGTTCGGTACAATTTATTCTGTCTTTTCGCTTATTCGGTTGCCGAACATTCGGTGCATCCCTAAATATAAATTCACGGGAAGGCCTCATTGCTTCTTTTTGTTGACAGCAGCAGATTTATAAACGGTTCTCATTATGAATGTAGGAAGATGTTTGTCGCACGTATTGTCACATGCCTTGTAAAATTCATAAAAATGTGACTGAGCAACTGACGAGTAACACTGTTTCAGCGCAGATTTTCCTCGTGCTTTGGACCCTGGTTAACCAGAAGAGTTCGCGCAGCGCTGTCAGAATACATGCAATGTGCACGTGTATTAGAAAACATAACGTTCTGCAGTTATTTACTAATTAAGGCCATTTCTCGATTTCAATCATCATACAGTAACCAGCAACAATCACCCCTCCTCTTCTCATTGAAGACATGCGCTGCAGCACTAAACAGTCTCTCTCTGTCGGTGCTTGTAATGATTTTTGCGTCTTTCTCAGACAGTTTAAATGCTTCCACACTGCTGATGTGTGTGCTGCATAATAAAGAGTGCGCGCCTCTCACTCTGCGCTGGTTGCTATTTGATCACGTCACGTCATTGTTCGGTACAATTTATTCGGTCTTTTCGCTTTTTTTGCTATTTTCAGCCAAATAATTTCAGTTGCCGAACATTTGGTGCATCCCTATTAGTTAATCGTGTTCCTTACAGATTTTTTTTTTGTTGTTCACTCAAAATCAACGTACTGTCTGGGATGGAGCACCAGTGCTCTGACAGACTTCTTGTGATTGGTCAGAGTGGCTCTAGTCTTGCCAGCGACCAGATCCCAGAGTCTGATGGTGGTGTCATGACTTCCTGAAGGAGGAAAATAAAGCACTTCAAACATGAGCATAACAGAAAAACACAAGATATTCCCTCGAAAACTGTAGCTGCAGCAGAAATCTGTCCAGAAGGCAAAATATAAGACGGATACACACCTGTAACCACCTGTGGCTCGGCACTTTGACATTTGAC